ACACACACACACACGGTGCCGCTTGGCGGCGCTCGTGTGAGAAACCTGAATAGGTACCTAAAAAGCCTTAGAAACGAAAGAAAGAAAGACAGAAAGAGCAGCGCTAAGAGGGCAAGAGAGAGAGATAGGTAGAAAAATGAAAAGTGAATACTAACGAGCCTCAAAAGCCTGAGAGAAAGCCCAACAAACGACGAAAAGCGTAAGAAGGAAAAAGGGGAGCAGGAAGGGGGTGTATGTCCATGTGTGTGTGTGTGTACGTGTGTGTGTGTGTGTTTGAATACCTAGCAGTCTAGAATTACCGAATACTTAGACGAAGTGAATTAGGTGCACTAGTTAGGGAGCGGGACTTTTGTCTTACACCGCCCGGGTAGAGTAGACTAGAAAAGGGACAACAGAGGGAAAGGCACCGACACACAAGTGTGTCGAGTACCATTTCCCTATGTTACCCTAATTAGGTAGGGAGTAGAACGCAGTGGGGGGGGGTCGGAAGACTCAGCACCCAAGCACCCAAGTGGGAAGACTCAGCGGCTCACACTCTGACATTGGTTTTCAGTTAACTCAATTTCCAGGAAAAATGGCGATGGAACCGAAAGGTGAAAGGGTCGGATCACTTGAAGATGTTTGAACAAGTGGTTTATGCGCCTCTGCAGAATTCACGACGGCATCTCACGGCGGTTCAGTGGCTGAAATTGGTGGAGTGTTTGAGGGAAGGTATCATGCCATGAAACAAAAACACGAAAAGTGGAGTCACGGCTTGTGAACAGTTCGGCAGGTACACAGTCAGACGTCTCTGACTGCTTCCCATGACATTACTAGCTTCGTTGGCCAGCGTCGTGATGCCATGCGCTGGCCCGCTGCTGGCTTGAAAAGTTGGACAAACGTTGCAAAACCCTTAGAAACAAGGTGGGACACACACAACAAGCCGAACTCGGCGCGGGTACAGAGCAGTGGAAAAACGGACTTTTTTCAAAAACCGCCTGCACGCTTGCAGGTCATGCCCTTTTTGGGCGTAGAGTTGGACCAATGCTTCTGCCGCAGCTGTTCAAGTGGATCTTCTGTGATGGAAAGGTGAGGTGAACGTATGACATGAGATGCAATGCAAAAGTCTCGAAATACGTGTGAAAGCTGAACAAATGGCTGCGGATTAAAAGTTGGGAACGTGCAGTAACAACACATGACACATGACAGTGCAGAAAGGTTGAGTCCATCGTTTATAGCCCGGCGGCTCGAAAATCCGTTAATTCAGTTATAGAGGTGGAGAAAGTGGAAACAGTTATTAAAAAAGGAAACGATGATTGCCCGAATGGCTTCAGCGCCCCAATGAAGGGGTTCACACCCAGCACCCAAGTGGGAAGACTCAGCGGCTCACACTCTGACATTGGTTTTCAGTTAACTCAATTTCCAGGAAAAATGGCGATGGAACCGAAAGGTGAAAGGGTCGGATCACTTGAAGATGTTTGAACAAGTGGTTTATGCCCCTCTGCAGAATTCACGACGGCATCTCACGGCGGTTCAGTGGCTGAAATTGGTGGAGTGTTTGAGGGAAGGTATCATGAAGGACCATGAAACAAAAACACGAAAAGTGGAGTCACGGCTTGTGAACAGTTCGGCAGGTACACAGTCAGACGTCTCTGACTGCTTCCCATGACATTACTAGCTTCGTTGGCCAGCGTCGTGATGCCATGCGCTGGCCCCCTGCTGGCTTGAAAAGTTGGACAAACGTTGCAAAACCCTTAGAAACAGGGTGTGACACACACACACACACACACCTGCAGAACTAGGTGAGTGAAAGAACCCTTTGAGGCAGGGCTGGACACACACACACACACACATGTGGCCTCTTGAGGGACGTCTTGCTCCAGAGTCTCCATGCTCATCAAGCCCTCCGAGTGAAGCCGCACCACTCCAGCTCCCCCTGAAACGAAGGTCTGAGAGGTGGACCTTGGTCGGTCGTTGGCACACGAGCCGCGGGAGGCGACGCTTCGCTTCGAGATGAACGGCTGATCCAGCTGGACACAGTCGCAAATGCCCCGGCAATAGCACATTAATAGAAGCGGTTCAGATAGGTGGAACCTGCCAAGTCGCTTACGAACATGCCTAGGATAGCAGACTGAAGACCTCAAAACAGATGGAAGGATATACTAGTAGCACCGTGTTTTGCGTGCGCATGCGCTTGCCGCATCACTTTGCTCACAAATTTGCCTGTGATGATCTTTATTTGCCAGGTGGTGCAATCTTTCCACCCAGACAAACCCAAACACCATGAAAGTGCTTTTTCTGCTGCCAGGCTTCTCTTGCCGGTGAAAGGATTGTGAATGAAATCGTCCGACCAGAATAGCCACTGCTGTCTAATCATTCATCTATGACTATGATTTATAGCATTGTTTAGCTTTTTACATGAATGCTTCCAAGCAACCGATCGAGCGCTCCATGGAGTGCTCCGTTGTGAAGCAGCTCGTTCTCGGCCACGAGACGCTCATACTCGTGGCGCATCGTCTCCAGTGCATGGAAGAAGGCCGATCCAGATCCAACGGATCCGACGCATCCCTGGACCTCCTCTGCAAAACTGGCAGCCGTGTGCCTGACACCTGAGGCCACGGGGTCCAATGCGGCCAACACCAAGTTCGGTGATGAAAATGGATGAAAACATCATATAAGTGGGTTGTATACATATATATATATATATCTGTGTGTGTGTGTTCTGACAACATGCGTATGGCTTTGGCATGTTTTGGCATATGTTTGTCAACCATTTTGGCATGGCCCAAGTCGAATGTTGGCACATCTCTGGGACACACCTGGTGCCAGTTTGGCAGAGCCACTGGCCATGGCGCTGGATGGTGGTGGATGTGTGAAAGGTTGAAACTGTTGTGTCTGTCTTTCGCGGGAGCTTCGTTCCACCAAAAGCCAACATGCAAGATGGGCACTCTGCTTTTCGTCTCCTCAACCCAGGGGCCACCATTCTAGGCCAATTTGTGGGCCACCGTAGGACGTCGGTGCGTGCCACTGTTGTTGCGGGCGGGCTTCCGGTGGTGTCTTCTGATGTGCAACTTCCAGAACCGAAAACAACTTCGGCGGTTTCAGAGTGAATCCGATGTTTGATGTTTGGCTCAGCTCATGGCTCAAGGCTCGCCTCATTGTTTGGACTCCCGAGAGACGACCACGAGATGGACCACACCCAAGATCCAAAGGGATCCATACGCTCAACGGAATGATATCACCTTTTTGGCGTATCTTCTATTATAACTGGTACTGACACTGGTCCATGCTTTCAGCTTCCCGAGAAGAACTTCTAGGCAACAATCATTCGGGCAGCAGTAGGGATATCTGACATCGTCGGATGGCTACCGACCGGTCGCCCGCTTTTCGTCGCATGGTCGCGTGCCGCGGCCGGCCGCGCCGAAGACGCACGTCGCAAGGCAGCGCACGGAGCTTAGTTCGGCGAGACCGATAGTCATGGTACAAGTGACTATTAGACCAATGGACAGGATGACCATGGTACCAAATCCATACGAAGGAACCTATTGGGGATGATGTAGGCCCTTTTCGCAGGCTACCAGGACTAGGGGGCCGACCGAAACAGTATATTTGGTCAAAACCACCTATATATATAGTGTATAGTGTTTGTTATTCACCTACACTCCGACTCCAACTATCATGAACATGGAAAGCCCCCTGTTGTGTAATACTCTTTCAGGGGTCCTTCTTCCACTACTTCCATGCACGGGTATCGTAGGCCTGTATGGCTGCCACAGCTGCGGCAAATTGCTTCGATGAGTCATTGCAAGTACGACTGTTCAGCATCACCTCAAAACCTCCATATAGTACATAAGTATGGTGTCAGCTGATCCACATTGACCAGACATATCACTCACTACCCTCAAGCTCTTGTGCACTTCTCTGCGAGCGAATTTCTTCGCGAGTGGAGCGACGCCTCACTTGGTGAATCGGCGTCCCCATCAGAAAAAAGAGTCTTCCTTGCGGCGGTTCCCACAGCAGTTCATGAAGATTAGTTGGAAGGAAGAACTCCTGTTCCGCAAGTTGGAGGAGTATACGAAGCTACCTGCCCTTTCTCAACTATGACCTCATGCAAAGCTGTTGTGACCCAACACAAATCGAAACTTTCCAACAAGGTGGTGCCCTACTTCCGTTCTAGTCAAATCAGAACCCTGCGCCCATTGGCTGTTTCATGCTGTTTCCGATTACCGTTTCCGACGGTACTTTCACAAGACTCAGAAACCAAGGGTAAATTTATATATATAGAGCTACATATATATATATATATATCAAACACTAATTGCTCGCCTTCCAACTGCATCTTTAAAATCGATTTCATATTGCGGGAAACCATGGGTGTCTCACCTTTCATCCTCGGTATCTGGGAGCTTCTGGCCTGTCGGCATCCGCATCCTTCCGAGGGCCTGGGTACAGGTCAAAAACTGTCCACGCTTGGCGCATGTGTATGTGTCGGTGGGGGGGCGGTCATGCAGGCCAAGAAACGCCCAAAAGGAACTTCCGGCAACGAAAATAAGGCAGACGACAGACAGAAGGATAAGATGGTGGCCGACCATAAAATGCATAAGGATAGAAGGGTCTTTCCATTGCAAGTTCATTGGTGGGGGACGGGCGCTTGAAGCAAAGACTTCCGATATCAAGACTTCCAGAGCCTGATCTTAAATGGGTATAACTTAGTCCCGGTTTTCCTCGCGCTCCTTTGAGATGCAGCACATCCCATGTCGACCAAACAAAGATGCAAAAAGACTCAAGACGGAGGTGCCCATGTCAAGTTCCAATTCTGAGCATCCGGGCCCTTTAACTTCCGCCGGACCTCAAAAAATAAACAGGCTGTCGAATTTGGAGTTCTGGAATCCTCCCTGTGGCCTTGGGGAAGAGGGTGGCGGTATCCATCCAAAAGAAAGGCATCGTCGTGCTGTGCCGAAAGGAGAACAGGGATTACGGCCTGGTGCCCTGGTGTTGTCTAAGTGTCAACTTTGATCTTCCACCGTTCTCTAACATCTCGGCAAAGTATACTGATTGATGCACTAACCCATGCACTAGACACCTCAATTTGTGCAAGTACAACTGACTCACGGTTGGAATAATTCACACCCTGATCCAGCTTTGCTCTGCAATACTAACAGCAGTCGAAACGGCTTCTATGCCGTGTTGCATGTAGTTTGGCCCCTCACCTCAAAACCCGTCCTATTATGCTACCATATATTTTTGTCATGTTTTGTCCATCTGCCTCCTGAAATCCCTGATCCTCTTAAAAGGCTTGGCTAGGTTTGTCTTTGTGCCCACCTCTTCCCACCTCCAACCCACTAAGAGATTGGTCTTGGGGAGCTCTCATGGGATGTGCGAGCCTCTTCAGAGGTTCTCGTCCTTGAAGGATGCTATGATATGAATTTAATTCAATTCTATTCTAATTCTAATAGCTTTTTGTTACTACTAGTAAGGCACCTGTTACTACTAGCGTGGCACTTGTTACTAGTAGAAACAATCCCCCTTCATTGAATGGCCAACATTCGCTCCTCTAGCAGCTTCGTGCTGAGCTCTGGACGATGGGCCTCTTCGCAATCACCTGGGAATTCCTGAGCAGCGCCATGTAGGTCGAAGGAAAAGGAACCCATTCCATCGCAGTGAAAAGCACCAAAGCCATCAAGCATTACTCCGTCTCTGCACTTGAAGGAAGCTTCAGATACCCCAGGATGTCTCTCTCTCTCTCTCTCTCTCTCTTGTGTGTGTGATCAACTCTCAGAGTTTGATGAAGTGTCCAACACTTGCGTTCCTTGCCGTGCTTTGATGATTTACAATTGTGCCTTGGGTTGACATGCAAATCAACAGTGGTCAACGATGGTCAACGTCATCAACACCATTCTGAACATTTGGAGCCCAAACGATGTCACCTCTGACTGGATCTATGCGGAATCGTTGGAGGGTTTGTTTATGCCTTTTTGGGGGCCAGGGGCAGGATGCTGAAAGGCAGTGATGCACCTCAGAGAGTTGATCGCCCACAATGGTGCAGTAGACGGTGCACAGTGCAAACATGGACGTGGCGGAAGGGAGACGAGACGCCAACGGGAAAAAAGAAGCGACGTATCGATTCGATCCTCCAGTCAACAAGCAAATCACCATTTTTGAACAAGGCTTTGACTAACCATCATCCACTGTTACTGGTATAGCAAAATGATGCAAAATGTAATAGGATAGACCCAACCATACCCAACCTATATCCTGTCGCGGGAACGTCCAGAATGGACAAGCCCTCAACGACCGGGTCCAATCACCCGCTGTTGGTGCAGCTTCGGGACAGGAGCGCGTCCAGCTTCGAGGTCATGACCTTGAAACGCGCTGCTCAAAGCACGGGAGGTGGTTCAATGGTCTCAAAGATTCGACCCGGACAAAACATGGGAATGGACTGATTGAGCATGTTTGGAGGTGAGTGACCATCCACCACCCCCCCCCAAAAAAAAAATAAGTAATCCCATGAATTTGATCCCTCCTGTGGCTCAGGTGAATGTCCTTGAAACCTGTTCAGTTTTTGACTGTGTAAATGCTGATCACTGATATATACTTGGGAAAACCACTCCACCCAAACCAATTCCCACGCAGCTGTGCTTGATGGTAATCGACTGAAGTTATAGTCACCAGGTCATTGACCCCAAAACAGTGAGCAATGTGAAATATAAGGGGCCGTAGCAGTTCACAAACCCAGGGAAACAAACACATAGTAAACCCACCTGCAGCTTCCTTCACCTGTATGAGAAGGGCGTGTCCGTCTTTCTGAGGTATCATGCCAAAAATTGTCACATAAATAAACACAATCTAGCAACAAGAAGCTAGTAGTAACAAGTGCCACGCTAGTAGTAACAGGTGCCTTACTAGTAGTAACAAAAAGCTAGTAGTAACAAGTTCATTAAAAAAAACATGCCATCTTGGTCAAGGGCACCGGTCCCATGCACACCCCATCACACCCCTACTCGATCAAGCCCGAGCACCTGCTGCGATCGATCCACCCACTTGCGGAGCTCCACCATGTCCTGCGACCGGCGACCGGCGTAGGGAGGTGTCGACCGGGCGAGAATCGTCAAGGGAATTGATAAAAGGGCCACCGCATGCCACAAACATATTGTTTATAAATCATCACCAAATGGTATATCTGATATCATACCAAGAATATCAAATAACCTTCATTAATCTTAATTCGATCAACCCGGTCCTGACCACCTGACTCGATGACGCTCCTCACCTAAATTCTCTTCCTCTGTGACAAAAACATGGGAGAAAGAAGTGTGAGTAATGTGGGATGATGATTGTTTAGCAATAGGGTCATCTATATGTTCCAAACTGGTTCATACCGACGGGTTTGTTCAACGGGTCACCCAGTTATGTTGCTACTTTTCTTGGATCCTAATGTCTTGTTGTCTGAAAACAGTTAGGGTGTTCATTCCTTCGGAACCCTGTCCACTTTCACCCCGTACCTCCCTTCCCAGGATAAATATTGTGAAAAGCATTTCCCGTTGGAAAATCCTTTCCTGAGACCTTAATTCTACTAAAGCAACGGCAATTACAGCATATCAGTGATATAGGTTTCTCTAGTTCTTCTTCAAACTGATAGCTCTCCAAAGCCATGAATTCCTTTATCAATCCTTGATGTGAAGATTGCACCTAAACAGCAGGCTTTACTTGAGCTGAAGATCTGAGGCTGAGAATAACTACAAAGAACCTGAGAAAGGAACATGAATACAATTAGTGAATTAATGAAAAAAAACATCAAAACAACAACCAATTGCAAAGGGAATCGTCCCAGGAATCCAGATTTGAGGAAGGGGGCCCTGTAATTCACCAATCAGGATCCCACATGATCAGCTTTCCAACCTCAACTGGTTCTCACATATTTTAACTGCGCTTTCAGGAGGGACCAAAAAGATCAACCAAATGCACGTAAAGGGCGGGGTTCTTCGCTCTTCCCTTCTTTCCCGGCTGTTCCCTCCAGCTCTTGGACAAACCGTCGGCCGGGCTCATCCAACCTCGCCTTCACGGTCGCTGCATTGGTCCCACGGAGCCTCGGAGAATCTCGGAGATCCAAGTAGGCCATGCACCATTAGTGTCAACGCTGTTTGGAAGAATATGGAAGAATGAGAGTGTCTTGAACATCCCTACCTGTCCTGTCCTCCTCACCTAATCCCCTATACCTTGTCTTGCCCAGGGCCCTGCCCAGGGCCCTACACATGTCTTGTCTCAGTGACTGTATGACCATCTCGACCACCTGAGTCATCGAAAGCTCACCGGTCGGCGTCTCCTGCTCTGTGTGGAGACAAAGGCCCGGAGCAACCAGCAAAGATGAAGACCTCGAACATGAACTCCAGCAAACCTCTTTATCTGTTTGGGGGGGCTTGGGACAATGGTGAAAACAAGTGAAAACGTGAACCTGAACCTTCCCCAACTAACACAGGGCCCAAATTTGGGGCCTCTGAGCAGAACATAGCAGAACCTCTTTGCTTCTATGATCTTCTATGATTCTCTGCCCTATGATGCCCTAGGTGTTTCTCCTTGAAGCGGCCACGCACCGTCTCCCGCAGCATCTCAGCGTCAACACCTTGGTGTCCATGGATCGTCGGGAGGTCTGGTGGTGGAGGCACGTTTGAGAGTGGAAGCCAAAAGGGCCATATGCTATAGTTGCTCTACTTGTCGTTTCTTGTCCTTGTGGTTGTTGTTGTTGGTGACGGCGGCGGCTCTTGCTTTTGGCCGAACTGCTTCATCGTGCTGGAGCTGGTGCAGCTCTCGTCATGGGATACTATTTAGATCTATTTTGCCATCTCTCTGACAAGCCACCCGGACTCCATGTCTTGTACGATCATGCCATGTCTTATGTGTGAACTCTTGTCAAGTAGATAACCCTTGTATACTCTCATATATACCTTCTATACACTCCCCGGGATAATCATGGAAGTGGAAAGACGGAAAGACAAGACTGCCCCTTTCGTTTAATCTGTTTCCTCTACAAATGGGTGGTTTTTCCACCCCCAAAATGATTCCAGGGGAATGCAAAAATGCAGTTGTTTTTTTTCACGGATTCCTCGTGCTTCTCTATGCCGGCCGCTGGTCTGCCCTGTTTCTTGGAGCCCCAACCCAATAATTCAAAGGCCTGGTGGGCCGCTTCCCCATGAAGCAGCACGCCCAACTCCTGGAGACTTGTGGTGTGTCTTCTTGAGACGTCTAGGAGACGTCCATTCGAAGACTTGAGATGGATGAAGTTGCAAGCAGAATGATGTTGTAAAACGCCCTTAGGATTTAAGTTTGCCTTACATCCGCATTGTGCTTAAAACGCGCAGTGTAGTGACATATTTTTTGTGAAACGCGGTGCAGGGAGCAAGGGTCCTTCCGCACTACATCTGGCAAGATTGGAGAGGACTCATAATGCTTGCTGAAAATGCTTCACGAAACATCATTCAACAAATCACCTCCGTGCTGGCTAGGACCATGTAATGCACCCCTTCCAGCCTCCATGTCTAGCAAGTAACAATCCCCCAAACGGCAGCTGCTTATAGCTGGCTACCTACCGTAGGTCACCTCGTTACCAAGAATGGCGTGCCTGACATGTGCCCAATCCCTTGTCCAGATCACATGCAAAGGCCGCGCTGAGGCTCGTGCTGACTGTGTCACAGACGCTACATGGCCTCAGGCAACAACGGCCCAAAGACTATCAAAGAAGCCCAACAGCTTTCCGAAAAAAACCATAGGATTCCATCAGAAACCAATGACCCTCGGACAAGACGGGGAACCGACCTCCATCAAACAAGTGTGGGCATGGCCATTTAGGCAGTTCAATTGGAATGTTCAGATAGAAACGCGCCTCCTCATAAACCAAACGCATCCAAACGCGTTGGAAACCTTGGAAGTCAGTAAGCTTGATGTAAAAGGAACTTTCCAAAAGCCCTGCCTGGTGGCCCATGCGCAAGAACATGTGAGTTGGAAATCCCACCGCCAGCTCTGGGCTGGAGCTGTTTTCGCTTGTTGGGTGCCAGCGGCAGCTACTGCACAAAATAAGTTCACGACAATTTCAGCTCGTAAAGATAGACATCGTGAACCTAACTACAGACATACTGATCATACAGATTCCAATGTGTGACATGAACCAACTGCTGGTCGCACAGAGTTTGTATCCCTCATAATCTTTGGTGCCATCCCTTCAAAGCTGTGACAAGCTAGAAACAAAAAGTTCGCAGCTAGTAAGTAGAATTCTTTTAACAATCTAAACCTAACTATACAATACTATATATATATGAATGTACTTCTCGCTGGGGTCCATTGGGCAGCTGTACTTTGCCACACGATCGGACGCGAAACCTTAACCTTCTGCGGGGCCTCTCGCCGCGTGATGGAACTGGTGGAACACAAACACACACTTGAGAAGGTTGCTCCGTGGAGCGTGATTTCAGGTAGCTTCGCGGTGTGCATTAGCCCTTTAAGATTACTGCAAGTTAGACCTTGACTAAAGGAAAGTGCAAAGTCCGAGCAACAGTATGGTTGAACAACAATTGGAGAATTTAAAAGTTTGCAGGTACGTCGACAGGACGTCTCCCGTCGATTTCACGAGCAAGAGATAGGTGTCTTCATTGGCACCTGCCCTATCTCTGCTCCAGGTGCCCCCTGCTTCTGTACAGAAAAGCTTGTAGGGTAGATTAGAAAAACTAGGGTAGTGTCCTTGGAAACAGGAGTGGACACACACACTGAGCCGTATCGGCGCAACTAGAGCGGATCAGGTAAGGCCTGGATAATAAATAGTGGAAGTGCTTGACATTGAAAGGTTCAATACTGTAAAATACATATCACTGCAGTCTGCGAAAGTGCCGGCACATAGTCTTTTTCCTCCTTGGCCGCAGCGCCGCGGCGCAGTGTGCTGGTGAATGGCCTTTGGCCATATATAGCTGCATCAACTTCTGTGCGGTCGTGTGGGCGAGATGTTTGGGGTAAGTGTATTTTTGTAGTGTGTGGTGGCGTGATTGTAAGCCTGAAAGGCGTAGTCTGTGACTCCCTGCTGACTGTGGATCACGAATCTGCCAGGAATGGGTGGGGAGTTGGAAGGTGACGGTTCTGTTGAGAGGGTCAATCAAGAAACCGAGTAGATGGTCGTCGTCCACTGGCTCTATTTCAACTGGTTGTTCATAAAATTCAGGATGGGCCAATGTAGTGATGGGGAGTGCTGACCTGTATTGTTCGTTGAGCAAGATGTATCGGTTGTCGACGTAGCGAGTGTTGAGCAAGTGAAGGCTTGGTTGGTGTAAGAAGGTGTGATATGTGGTTTGCCAAGTGTGTTCGATGAGCGTGATTGCTACATTGCAAAGTGCTGGTGAGAGCTGACTGCCAATGCCGGCTCCTTGAATTTGTTTGTAGTAGGTGTTGCAAGCTTGGAAAATACATGAGTGAAGGGCTTGTTGAACAATAAGAGGAATGTGTTGTGTGTCAAGTGTGCGTTGTTGTGGGTGGTGGATGTAGTGACGACCGATGTGTGAGTGTTGGATGGGATTGCCGGTAGACTGGACGTCGATGGTGATGGTAGTGGTGTTGTGTTGTGCTTTCCAGCGGTTGCATAGGCTGATGACTGCGTCGACAAGGCGTTGTTGAGGTACGCTGTTGAAGAAGCCGACAAGGTCGTCGTTGATCGGTGTGAGGTGGATGTCTTCGGGTGTGGTCTGGAAATGGTTGTGGAGGTGTTGCCAAAGGTTGGGTATAGATAATTGGCCTGGATGTTGTGGTAGAAGATGAAGGAGCATAATGTCTAGTGCTTTGGAGGTGGCTCGTAATAATGTGCCTGCGATGGATCTGAAGTAGCTGATGACTGTTCTACCCTTTCGCCAGGATTTCTTTTGTTTGAGAAAAACTACTCCATGTGGCGTGTAGAATTTTGTGCGGAAGCCCCAGGGGTATGCTTTGCGAATGCTGGCTGGGAAGGATTGTGTGAGAAATTGGTGGAGTTGTTGGGCTGTGAGATCTGGTAGTGGGAGAAAAAGTTGTGGTGTATTCCATGTGGTGA